AAATAAAACAACAAGCCAGACAGACGCTCCTGATGTCCAGTCTGCTCCGTAGCTTTGTTTTGGTCGCTGTAACCGCATAAAATGAACTGAATTAACCTGTGTCAAGAGGCACAGATGCACCGACTGACCACATTTTTTTATATTTTTCAAAATAAAACATCACTCAGACTCGTCGATAAATTATATTATAAATTATATATATATATATTTTTTTTTTTTTCTGTGCGGCCTGGTACCAAATGACCCACGGACCGGTACCGGTCCGCGGCCCGGTGGTTGGGGACCCCTGGTGTAGAGGAGTAGCACGTAGCCTTGAAAGTCCATGGTGAAGTGAAACGTACACTTAAAAAACGATCTAGAAATAAGTAATATGTCTTAAATGAAGTGTATTTACCCTTGATTTGAGTAGGTAAATGAAATAGTTTGCCAATGGAGTCAGTATTTTTACTCTAAAAATAAGATAATTAGATAATAGTCACTTTAAATAAGACAATGCAACTGTGTTTTCTTATTTTAAGTGTAAATTGTCTTGTTCCATTGGCAAAATGTCTCTTTTATCTCCTCAATTCAAGAACAAAAGCACTAATTTTAAGAAATAATGGCTTATCAAGATTTTGATTTTTTGCAGTGTATGCCTAAATTTATCATACCCATTACATAATTCCCGCCTAATGTTCATTTTTTTTCGCTCCAGTCCATTAGGGTACACTGCAAAAATGATCTGAAATTAAGTAAAAATGTCTTAAATCAAGTGTATTTACTTTGAGCAGGTAAATAAGATAGTTTGCCAATGGAATGAGTACTTTTACACTTAAAATAAGTCAATTAGATAATATGCAGATGAAGTAAGACAATGCAATTGTTTTTTCTTATTTCAAATGTAAATTGTCTTGTTCCATTGGCAAAGTGTCTCTTTTACCTCCTCAATTCAGGAACAAATGCTCTTATTTTAAGAAAAAATGACTCATTTAGATTTACATTTTTTGCAGTCTAGTACTCCACCTCAGCTGCCAATTAATTCATTTCTGTTTTAACTCTGTTTCTGT